AGTTAATAATATCAAGTTAAAAAAAAGTGTTTGATTTAATAATTATGTTTATATAATAATTTTTGATAATTATGATTTTGATAATGGATAATAAATAAAACAAAAGAATTAGGATATATAATAATAATAATTTGTTATAATTTGTTATAGGAAATAGGAGACTTTACATTATTTATTATATTGTATATTTGTTTAAAAACAAACAAGATTTGAAGAGAAAAAATACTATCATGGGTTCACTACCCATTCCTAGTTAGCCTAGATAGATACCTTAGGTATCCATCTATCATATAGTTGTTGTCGCTCTGTGTGTCTTCTCTCCTTGTCGAATATTATACATCATACCTAGTACCCACCAGAACCTGTATCAACCCCGTGATAATATCTATATCTATATCAAGACTTAAATAGTATATATATTTAAGGATTAAAATAATAATAGTTTTAAAGAAGAAAAATTGAAGGAAAATCCAAAATAATATAATATACTAATTGAGATTTAGATAGAAAGTTATATATACTATTTGGAGTATCAAACTTGAAAATGATACTATTTGAGATATTAATCGTATATTAAAATAGGTGCTTTAAAAACAACTCAATCATCTCATCGTTAAACTTACTTCTCGGTTGGCTTCTCTGGATCTCCTTAGTCAGCCAGAGATCTTCCTTTAGCGTCTATTATTCCATTAGTTCCAATATTTCCAATTGTCCCCAGACTTTCCCTATAATTTTGTGCAGTGATTACCCTCTGCAGATGTGGTCTTGGATATATATTCTTATACGGATCTCTAACTGTTGGCGTTTTTGACGAGCTTGGCTTTAACACTTTATGAAAACATGGCTTGTTTTTGCTAGAAAACGCTGTAAATAATAACATGGAAACATTGTCAGTTAAAGTACGTTGCTCTGGCATCAATGCTTGAAACAGGCAAAACACAGGGTGGATTAAACAATAGTACTAGAAGAGTAGATATTGTCACTGATGACAACCTTTTCACCTCCTGACTGACAAGACTTTTGTAGCTGCACGCGAATCTGGAGTAAGAACACCGAAAAGACATTGGAACCCTGTGATGTTCTCCGTGGCTTATGGCTACCAAAAGCTGGTCCAGAGCCTACGACCTAAGTACATAGAGGTACAAGTGTCGCACAAGAACATGTTTCATATCTCCCAGACAATCATGGATGATTAAATCTGCTATTAACGCATGGGACTACCATCAATTGAAGGTCACATGTGCGCTGAAATTCACAACGCATTTCTCAACCCCATATTGGAAACATTATGTAAATTTTATATCCGCATGTCTGGTACGATGCCGAGAAGGAGTCCTAGTGGCTCGTAAGATCACGCACTCGGCAACATCAATTCCTGCCATTTCAATGTTATAATATCGAATCCCGCCATAAGACCGTACCAGCTACCTTTGCACATTGTCCTTTCTGTACATAATGTTGTATTCTATACGAACCCAACACTTTGACCAAGAACATCACCTAAATACGCTCTGGATGATAGTTTGGATCTTTTTTTGTGATTTGATCGCAGCATTAAAGACTTGGCAGCGCCGCTACTCATTACAGGTAGAGCATGCCATTGATGACATGATGATCTCAATACCACGTAGAGCTTAGGAGCTGAAATCACGATCGAACACGCATACCCTCCAAAGTACCAGGGGATCCCGAAGTTTGCGTTCAAAGATTCAATGAATCACCGAATTCTGCGCATTTCGCTGTATTCTTGGTCGATGCCATGACTGAGAGATTCGTTGTTAAGGGTTTGAACATCAACCTTGCCGGGTCAAGATACATGGACTTTGTCAACATAGATTAGATAATGAAGTTTTCGACCAGTTAATTTCCTGAATCTAGAAGTCCACGACCTTGATTCTCCTTATATATGGCCATGGGCGTGCATCTTTTTTCGTCGAGATATATGGAGTCGGTACTTTCGTGTAGTCTGCCTAATATACCCCAAATTGTCCACCAGGACCCTCGTGTAAGACAAAGCTGCGCGATTGTGCAGGACTTCAGGACTTCGATTGGTATTTCCTTTGGTGTTTTAAGATCTGATGGATACAGATCATCATTGTCCAGCCTTTTCTTCTCAATCCGTAGGATGCCTCGGGTCGTACATCTCATGCCCGGATTGTTCGTCATCGGTATCGCTCTCCAAGTCTTCTCCTTTGACTTCCAGAGTACTGCATACTCCATTCTTCTCTTCAATCTCATCCTTAATGGGTGCATCAGTTCCCTCTCCACTCCCTGGCGCAAAAGCACTTTTGAATCCCGATTTCTTAAAACCACCTTTTTTTGAACTTCCACCACCAGTAGCTCCAGCACCCAAGCTTGCCTCTCCACCCAACTTAATTGATATCAACCCGGATTGAGAATTTGCTTTAGCTTCTGCTTTTCGAGCTTTAGTCGAGGCCATCGGGTCGCGAGTTAGTTGGCGCATATCCTTAAGGCGTTGTTTATGGGAGTGATCGTATGACGAGAGATGAGATTCATATTCGTTCATTCGTGCATATCCTTTACTGCATAATTCACCTGCGCATGTAAGAAAATAGACCGGATTGCGAAGGGGACATGAGAACATACAGTAAAAAGATTTCACAGCCTCGCGAGCACTCTCGGTTTTCGGGGCTGGATTCGTGAAACCACGCTACGGGATCGGGATCGCGTTATTATTTTGTTTGAGTAATCCGGTTCACGTAGAATGACTTACTGGAGGCATGTTCAATATGATGAATAATAAATATCTGTTGTTGTTGTTGAACAGAAGTATTGTGTTGTGCTGTGTTGTGTTGTACGCGAGTATTGTATTGTATTGTATTAGTATATACAATATGAATGAAGAATTAAGGTGTGGCCCAAGCTCAATAACCTTAAATCTATCCGATCCATACATCTTCAACACATTTCATTTCGCATTGGCATTTTATTTATTAGACTTGCTTGCTTGATATTTTTCATGATTTTCATGACTTTCATGACATTTATTTTATTTGATATTTATCTTCTTCATATATTGTAAATATGGAAGGACGGCGAGATTCTAACGCTTCGGACGATACTTTTATTGATCTTCAACAATTAGATCCTTCACCTATAGATTCTCCACCTGATTGGGATGAAAAACTACCTCAGCTACCTTCACATGCCTCATTTGGGAGATCTTCAACATTAGGACTTAGTGGCTCCGGCCATGGCGCTGTATATTATCGTGCGTACTATCTATCGATATCTATTTCTGTTTTGAATATATACACAAAATATACATACTCGAGTACATAGTATATAAAATATTTAAAAGTATATGAACTGATATGATTTGATATTATGTAGTCACGCGTATACAACGTTACTCTTCCTATGCCTTCTCGATTTTTAGCGCTATGCATATTACAAACACATCTTTGATACCTTTGATTACCCGTTCTGTACCTGCCTCTGAAAAGTACTTACTTCTCACTCGCCCATACTATCGTAAGTACCGGTACCCACCCCGCCCTCTCCCGTTATTCCGCCCCGAACTTGCCAACTTTTCTCTCCTCCTCCAAAGGCGTTAACCCTTCCTCCCAAGCCTCACATCGCCCCACTAACCTGACCCCGCAATAGAATCCTTCCCCTTCGAACCCCTCCTCATCGGTCTCCCCCTTGTCGCCCATATAACTTCGGGCGTCGCCTTACGTCTCTACCGCCGTCGCGTTGCTGAAAAACGTTACTCCTCGCATCAACCCTCCAGTTCTCTTTCATACTTTTCCTTCTTATCGCCGAAGTTTTGGCCGTCAATCTCCTACACCTCTATTTCAGGCTATATTCTCGCTCCTCTTGTAGCATCTCACACATTTGTCAACCGAATCATCCCTTTGATACATGAGGGGGGATCATCTGGTGTTGGGCTAGGATATGTTGCGCATGGCTTTGCCAAACATCCTAAGCTCGCGTGGACAACGTATGTAGCTTTGGTTGGAATAGGTGCGGGTCATATGGTTTGGGGCGCTGCAAAGTGGTTAAACCTATTATCTAGAGGGACTGAGAAAGAAATAAGAAGGATATGGTGGAGTCTCAATAGTATTGTCGGTCTTGTGGGAGCTATTTGGTATGCCGGCGGATTAGGCATTGTTGCACGAGGCGGAGCGGAAACTGGTTGGGTTGGTACTGGGTATGATGCTCTGTATCAAAAAATCCCACTGCTGGGTTAGAAACGGAGTGGGTAGTGGTGCAGATTTTTATCAAGATCCTGATATTTTGACAACACAGCGAGGTGTTTAATTTGAGCCTCGAAAATAAATATGGGTGGACGGGTAAACAAATATCACTTATGACAAACCGACCTTTCCTATCATGTATATACCATTGTACATATAAAACATATGATCATACAACACCCGCTCAGTAGAATACAGACGTTCAAAAAATTGCGCTCCGTCTTCACAATCGCCCAGACTCCTCTCATCTACCATCTCCTCCATCACCCTTTTCCTACTACGCAGTCCACGTGAAGCAGAGAGGATGACCATTTCGTAACCATGAATTTGTATAATATGAGATTCCAAATTGAACAATAAACTATCAATGTTCCAATTCAATTTTTAAGAAATAGTTTGATTTCAAATATATCAAAGAAAAGCATATTTTTGTAAATGAGTGATTCTTCGTATGTCGAATAAGGCCACCTTTGCGCTGCCTTTGAGGGCATACTTACTACTAATCGTAGACCTACAAGCGCGCCCCACTTCTAGCGTCCCTTAGCCACCACACGTGAGTGAACCTGATGTAAAATGCCTATGTCTTTTGGAAGGTTGGAGGTGGGACGCGTGGTAGGCAGTGGAAGGCTGAAGGCTGAAGGGGGGCGGGGGTGGGCTAACGAGCCTACGAATATGTACAACGTACATGCATCATCTACAATCACAGCTAATCAAACGAGCACCGTGGAACAACATGACACTTGTATATTCCGCGGTGCATTTTCAGTGGTACATCTTGAATCTTCTGATACATTTTTCCGATTGGCACTTGTATTCATTATATCAGACATGACAGTCGACCCCCTTCGATTTTGCAAAACACAACAGTAACTCCTCCACATTAAGAAAATTGTACAAAAGTCTAATACATGAGAAGACACCTTACGCCATTTGAGATAGCTCATACATCCGTCTAGTCATGTCACAGCCATCCCATATTTTGGCCAATCTCCATAAACTCCTCCCATAAGCTAAGTATGAAAAGTATGGGACTGCGCCATGCCCTACGGGCACCTCAGAAGGGTAATTTACCCACCAGTGGGTTATTATCGTACTAAATCATGTATTGAAGTGAAATGAAATGTATTGAGATCTTGTATTGAGATCTGAATATATAGTCTAGGCCTAATATGAATTAGTTCGATATAGCTTCATTTTTTTCACCCTAAATCGATGATTTCAAATTCATTCATATTTACCGAAATCTTTCAATCAACTCTACAACTTTTCATTCAAATCAACTTGAATGGTTTCAATGCTTTCAATATTCAGTAAGTCAGATTTCAATATTTTCAATATTCAGTAAGTTAGAATGCTTTCAATGCTTTCAATTTTCAATTTTCAATTTTCAATTTTCAATTTTCAATTTTCAATATTCAGTAAGTTTGAATGGTTTCAATTGTTTGTATAAAGGATTAAGGGTTAGCGATGACGAGGGTGCGACGACGAGGTTCAAAATAAGGTATGAAACTCAGGGAGGAAAAGGCCAGGGAAGCTAGGGAGGCCAGGAGGTGGAGGCCAGGGAGGTGGATGCCAGGAAGTGAGGGGGTGGCAATTGAAAGGGCCGGGAGAGGGTGGCTATCGATATCGGAGGCTATTTTAGCTTCAAATCTCAATACAAGCGTTGAATCTCAATACATGCTTTGAATCTCAATACACACGCTAAAAAGGACGCTTGTCAAAAATGGCCGATTTACCCTCCTCAGGTGCCCGTAGGGATGCCGAGCCCTTGAAACGCCAACTCAAAGAAAGACCCACAAACATTTATGCTTCAATTGAAGATCTAAGCATACCATCCCTTAGCGCCAATATTACTGTTGTCTCGTTCTTCTCGGTGGTCTATCATGGGTTCTTTGATATCGAAAAGCTCGATCATTTCTTGCCAATCGTTCATATCGAGGGAGAGGACTGCTTGATGCCTTGCTGTGTGGGAAGAACTTCCGTTGCCTTCTTCCTTCCTGGCTCCTGAAATAGTATTTAGCAACAACGCCTCTCCTTTGCAGTGTGATGGAACAAACCTATGTATGGAAGACCATCGGGGTCTATCTCAACTTGTACTTGGCCATCCCGAACCAAAAAGCTCACATAGAACATGTTTTCAATCGTCTGACCGAAGGAAAACGGGTTGATGACGAATTTAAAATATGCCATCAATTCATTTTCCGATAGACCATATCGGTCTCTCAGCGCATCGCCTTCTTCTTCCGTCATTTCCTCTGTAGTCTCTTCCTCCGCAGCCGCAATAGATTTTATCTGAACTTCCTTTAATCTGAACAAGATTTTGCTGCAAAGATAGGTCAAATTAGCATTCTCTGATTTCTCAATATCATCTGCCCTTAAAACCTCTGGACGTGTCTCCTGAAGGTTGCTTGGTCTGAGCGGAGCTCTTCGGACAATAGCTCTTCGAGCGCGCTTTTGTAAAGACAAAGGACCGAGGAGGAAACCTGGCACTGAGGGGCGAGCATTATTTGGTAAGCAGGCATGGTGTCCAAGATGTTCCCAGTTGAGCATCTCTCCGTCATTGTCGTTGTCGCTATCTTCACCATCTATAGCCTCATTTCGCCGGCTGCGCTGGGTATTTCGTGGCGTATGACCCTGGGAAGCCTGGAGAGGTTTATTTGCCATGTATAATTTGATCTTGGAAACGAAGTCATCCACGTCGACCCCTTGTACAGTGTCCCCAGATGTCATTCGAAGTGTCTTCTTCTTGGCGAGATCAGCCGTACTGACAAGTAGTCGCGAATCAATTGTTGCGTCGCAGGTTTGTTTGACTCTCTCTGAAAGCTTGTTTGCCTTGAGTAATGTATCTTTGATACCCGTCGATTCCGGATTAAGATACTCGGCACGATTATTTTGCAAAGTCCTTGAAAGACCCCTCAATTCGAACCGAAGCTGTCTTCTCTCTTCGACACTTTGATCCGGATCATATTCCTGCGCGTCGTCCTCGTCTTCATCCACCTCTGTTGTACGTCGTCTTTGATTACGCTGTATAGAAGTGTCTCCTTCGCCGGTGGTTCCAGTACGCTTTCTCTTACTAGTGGGCGATGGTGCTCTAGGAGGACCCATTGAAACATTTAAAGCCCGACCTTTTCCTTTATCGATCGGAATTCGCGAAGACCTGTTCTCCTTATTGGACGAGGTGGAAGCCGCTGGGGACGGAGATAATGCCTCGTTGTTGGCGGTTCTTCGTGGATAACTCGGGCCAGGGGATGCTTCGTACAAATCTTCATCAAAGTGAGGGGCAGGAGATTCGGAGATTTTTATTCTAGACATGATGAGGTATTGAGAAAGCTTGGCGCAATGCGAACGTTTCGATAGAAAGTAAGTGAAAGCGCGGGCGAACTTTCTCGAATGAAAGGGATGGAATAGAATAGGACGCGGACGTGGTTGCGATAAATGAACCTCGCGTGTCAGGTTGTGTTGATTATTCTCGAAGAACGAAAGTTCTCGACAAGACAACTGAATGAATGAATGAATAGATAAACAAATGACTGGATAAACAAATGAATCCTTTTTGTTTGAATTCAAAGTGATTATTGTCTCTCTTTGTTTTTGTTTTTGTGTTTGTTGTTGTTATGTTATGATAGGTACGAAGTAAAATTTAGTGTTAATCGAAGGGAGGGAGGAGGAGGAGGGAAACGGGATCTTTCACGTGGGTAGGTTAGTTGTACACAGGTCGCGTCAAACCGGGGCAATACACTAGTGCAATTACGGATTAACTACCACTACCGGTATCCACTTACCCATCCAATTATTGAGTGTATTATACCTCACCTCAACTACTAGGTACTGTATTAACTTCAATTCCATCACGTATTCTTCTTTTCTTGCTACACTTCTGCCGGATGCCTGCAGAAGATGGATCATGGAACCCTTTTCCTTTGCAAGCTCAGAAGCTTTGGATATTCCAGTAAATATTAGAATGTAAGTTCTAGCATACTCGTTCCGCTATTTCCTTTATCTATATCCTATCCTACTAAATGCTGTATAGTGTTAACCTCGAAGGGGAACAGACTCCAATACCATTTTCCACACTCATAAAGCGACCAGACTTAAGACATCTTGGCTCAAATTCAAGGTATGTAGCTATGTGTATATTCCAGCTCGATTCCGAACATGCTGACACCGAAATTTTATCACAGCTCTCACTCGGATCTTTATGTCACTGTGCAGTTATGGGCCGATTCGAAACCCTTGACCGTACCCGTTCAAACAGCATATAAATCATTCAAAAACGAGAGAAAGTGAGTTTGGAGGACTGTTCAGAACCCGGAAGCTGCTAATCGTTGGGAAGATGGAGCGAATGGCTTACCTTACCTATAAACTGTTCGACAATACCTTTGAGCTCTCAACTTGCGATTACAGTATGGGATTTATCTCCAACAGGAGGTGACAGGGCACAAGGACATGCTGTGCCCTTTGGGGGAACTACTTTACGATTATTCGATAAGGAAAACCAGCTACAGAAAGGTCGTCAAAAGTGTTATTTGCATCGTCGCAAGGCTGCAGATGGCCTGGAATCTTCCTCCACGCCCTCGATTTTACCCAATGCCCGTCGTAATGGGACCAAAGTGAAAGAGGAAGAAGAGGTAATTGACGAAGAGGGTGAAGAATTGGACAGACTGGAGAAGCTATTCAAGAAGCATGAGATGGGTGAAATTCCACGCGTCGAATGGTTGGATCAATTGGTTTTCAGAGGGGTGGAAAAGCGAGGTCTTCAAGCATCTAGTGCCTCGCTAAAGAATATCCAGCGCAGACGAACTCGACAAAGGAGTGTGGTATTGACCTTGGACGGGGCAGGGTTTGAGAGCAATAACATAGAAAACGACGCATCAAAGGACGATCCTTCCAAGGACGAAAGGTTCGTCCTTCACGTGGAGCTACCAAGGTATGACTTTCCGGTCGTATTCGCCGACCATGAATACCCTCCGCCACCTATATCTTCGCTGCAGCATCTATCTTCCTCTCAGTCGAATATTATTCTCAAACCTCCTCCGGAAGTTCAATTTGGGCCAGGTATCAATGGTTTGGGGGATAATGACGAGCATGGCTTCGGTGGACGCCTTGTAAGGGTCTATGACCCTGAAGTTGGAGCAAGAGACAACCCTGCGGAGAGTAAACATCGTCGTCTGGTGCGAAGTCACCGAACCGGGGTGCTAGATCGTGACCTCAAGCCAAATGCAAAGGTCCGGGACGAGCTAAATAATATCATAGCATATTCGCCGACGCACATCTTATCGCCAGAAGAAAAAGACCTTGTATGGAAATTTAGGCATCATCTTTCGAGAGACAAACGGGCACTCACAAAATTTATCAAGTCTGTGAATTGGAATGATCCAAACGAGGCCCGTGAAGCCGTGACTATGTTGAGCAAATGGACTGAGATCGATGTTGATGACGCGTTAGAGTTGTTGGGACCGACTTTCGAGAATTCTTCTGTGAGAGCTTACGCAGTGGATAGACTACGGAAATCTGATGACGATGAGCTACTGCTCTATCTGTTGCAGCTGGTTCAAGCTCTTAAATTCGAGCATATTTCACCCGATTCAGCTGAAGATGCAACTCAAGATTCTTCCCTCGCACGACTCCTAATTTCAAGAGCAACGAATAACTTCATGCTTGGAAATTTTTTTCACTGGTTTCTCATGGTGGAATGTGATGACAAAAGCGAAGATCAAGGGGCTGGTTATCGTAAATTATTTGCGAAGGTTGAATATGACTTCATGACTGAACTGATCAAGAAACCTGAGGGAGTTGAGACTCGAAAAATTCTACTGCGCCAGGCGGAACTCATTACAATGTTATCCAGGGTTTCTGAAGATATAAAGACTTCAAGGGATACGATAACTCGTAAGGCTGAGCGAGTTAAACAATTTCTTGCTGATCCCAAAAATGAACTCATCACTATAGATCCGCCCTTACCTCTGCCACTGGATCCCTCGATAATGATTACCGGCGTCGATCCTTCGGAGACGAATGTTTTCAAGTCATCGCTGTTTCCAATCATGATGACCTTTAAGACGACCACCAAGCAGAAGTATCAAATAATCTTTAAGACTGGAGACGATTTACGTCAAGATCAGTTGGTCATCCAAATTATCACACTCATGGACCAGCTATTGCAAAAAGAGAATCTGGACTTGAAATTGTCGCCCTATAAAATCCTTGCAACTGGAGCAACTGCTGGAGCTGTTCAATTCGTTCCGTCGATGAGCTTGCAGAGTATCGTGAATAAGTATAAGGGCAACACCGTACTTAACTATCTCAAATCAAATAACCCCGATGACAAGGCGTCTCTTGGTGTTCGCAAAGAAGCCCTGGACGTCTTCATCAAATCGTGTGCAGGATACTGTGTGATCACCTACCTTCTTGGTGTGGGTGATCGCCATCTGGACAACCTTCTTCTAGCGCCGGATGGTCACTTCTTTCACGCCGACTTTGGCTTCATACTTGGTAGAGACCCCAAACCATTTGCGCCAGCTATGAAGCTGTGTAAGGAAATGGTAGATGGTATGGGTGGATCCATGTCCGAACATTATCCACAGTTTAAACAGTATTGCTTCACGGCCTATACAACGTTACGAAAGTCTTCGAATTTAATTCTCAATCTCTTCAGCCTAATGGTTGACGCCAACATTCCGGATATAAAACTTGAGCCAGATAAAGTGGTATTGAAGGTCAAAGAACGGTTTCATCTGGAATTGGGCGAAGAGGATGCAATCAGGCACTTTGAAAGGCTGATTGAGGATAGTGCAAATGCTATCTTCCCGGTCGTTATTGATAGATTGCATGGTTTTGTACAGCACTTCAGGTGAAACATATGATCGTATCAAGGTTGGCGTTTTGGCATCTGTCACATCGTATATTCAATTCATATATGAAATTTGAAGCTATTCAAACCTTTTTCCAAATTTTTGAAAAGGCAACCTGTGCATGGGATTCTGAACTAAATTGTAGAGTAGGTTCAGACCCGGCTTTGAACTCTCAAGATGATCTAGATAGCGCGACTACAGTTCACCTCTTATTCTCGTTAGAGATCAATGTAGCAGGTGCGACTCTAGCTTAGCCGATGATCATATAACTTTTTCTCTCTTATATATAATAATCATTCTAATATTAGAATATTTATATTACTATTATCTTAATCAATTTTATAGAGATATTATTTGTGAATATTATTATTTCCTTATAAATCTATATATTATAAAAACCTATTAATATTAATTAATAATTTACAAATTAAATCCGAAATTCTTTTTATTACTTTTTTATCATTTATTATTTTTAGATCTGAATATTTTCAATTTTCAATATTAATATTATAATCTATATTATTTATTCTCTTTACTTATATAAGGGATCACAAGCAGGGAATAGGCCGGATAGTATCAGTACTACAGTTAGGGTATAGTTTGTACAGAACTGAACTCATACCATTGCCATAGTAATATGAGGATAGTTCTTTATAGATTTCAATACAAACTAACTAATAAAGAACAAAGGATATAAAAGGATACTTTGTATCCTTTTATATACACGCTTTTCCGGCTAGTCCCCGGAAGGGGATTAGTCTCT